TACCCAGATTGTTGTAAGAGGCTGCAACATCAACATGATCAGGTCCAAGCTTCTTCAGACGAATCTCCAGTGCATGATTATAGTAGTCTTTTGCTTGATCTGTTTCGCCCAGCTCCTTATGTAGAATACCCAGATTGTTGTAAGAGGTTGCAACCTTAACATGATCAGGTCCAAGCTTCTTCAGATAAATCTCCAGTGCATGATTATAGTAGCCTTTTGCTTGATCTGTTTCGCCTAGGTCACTGTGTAAATTACCCAGATTGTTGTAAGAGTTTGCAACCTTAACATGATCAGGTCCAAGCTTCTTCAGATAAATCTCCAGTGCATGATTATAGTAGTCTTTTGCTTGATCTGTTTTGTCCAGGTTACTGTGTAAATTACCCAGATTATTGTAAGAGGCTGCAACATCAACATGATCAGGTCCCAGCTTCTTCAGACGAATCTCCAGTGCATGATTATAGTAGTCTTTTGCTTGATCTGTTTCGCCCAGGTCACTGTGTAAATTACCTAGATTGTTGTAAGAGCCTGCAACATCAACATGATCAGGTCCCAGCTTCTTTAGACGAATCTCCAGTGCATGATTATGGTAGTCTTTTGCTTGATCTGTTTTGCCCAGCTCCTTATGTACAATACCCAATTTGCTGTAACATGCTGCTTTTTTCAGGTCCTTTTCTTTCGTGATTTGACTCAATCATTTTTAACTGGAATTTATAAAAGACTATCGCTGCTCCAAACTCACTGTGGTCATGGCACATGTCACCGAGGGTGCAAAGGCCACCAGCGTAAGAACTCAAAGACTTAAGTGCTCTTTCGGAGAATTCTGGCTTTTCTCTTCTAATTACCACATGTTCAAGTTTTAAGCTTAACATCTTTAAATGGGGAGCTAATTTTGTTCCCACATCAATAGAAGCTAATTTTTCGAATTTTGAGAATGACATTACAGCCCCATATACCACTTCGTAAACTTCATCCTTTGTCCAATCTTTCGTCGCAGATTTAATAACATCGTGAACAATACCATGAGCTCGAATATAGACACCACTCACTTTTTCTTCTTCTTCCTCTTCTTCTTCCTCTTCTTCTTTTTCTTCAATCAGCAATAATGAACATTGATTCATTCTCATTCTCATCATATCTTCATCTTCAAAATCTTCATCTACTGCTCTGATCTACTCGATAACAGCTTCTTGAAGNTTTGCATACAACTCGTTTTACGACATACGAATTCAAAATTGTTTCTGGGCTTTCAGCATTCAGTGTCATGACAAATGAAGCTGCGGAAGGTGTTTCTTTGACTTCGTCGTAGAATCGCTTGGCTGCTAAACGGGCCAGCTGAGATTTGCCACTTCCTGGATTTCCTGACAAATACAGTATGCTCATCCCATCATCGGTGCGTTTTAATGTTTGCAGGTTTCGCATAATTTCATCAACTTCAGATTCTCGAGCAGCGATGTCGTGTGTTGGTTTAGGAGGGAGAATGCAAAATGGAGAGACATCTGCGTGTAACTGTTCTTGCAAGGCAAGCCTCTGTTCTTCTTTTACTTGAAGTTCCTTTTCCTTCTCTTTAAGTTTTTGTCTCAGGTTGTTAACCTCCCTTAAAACTGCACTTAACTCCTCTGTGGGGAAGGTTGTTTGATTTTGGACTTCATCGATTTTTAATGTGGGAAGACCGAGGGCGACGAATGCAGTTTTCACCCGCGATATAACAAAATTGAAATCTCCGTCAGAGAGTTGGCCTGCTTCGTCATGTGCGATTTCATTCCGAGTATTTCTTAGATCATCTATGTTTGATCGAACCACTGAATTGAGACCGTGGATACAATCTGAAAAACGAATAGCGTAAAACAGCATGGTACAATCCCAATCAGCTCTATCGCCATTCCTCATGATTGATAACAGCCGAGCGTTTTTGCTTCTCCTCTTAGGAGACTCCCCATTCCAAAAGTCCAGTCCATTTTTAGGTTGATCATTCCATTCTCCTAGTCTTGTCTTGTGGCGACTGTCCCATTCTTGTTTAAAGATTGTTCGCAGACCCTCTGTTATAATATCAGTGACAACGTAACAAATCCTGAAGTAATTTAGCTGCTCTTCCGTGTATTCAAATACAGCGGCCATTTCTTGTTTGAACCTGAGCAAAACCAAAGTTTTGTTAATACGCGTTAGGGTTGTCTTTGAAAATAGTATATGTGTCAAGATCTAGCGATACGCGCTTAGACATGATTTTGTAGGAAAGGGGTGGGTCAGGAACAAGGAAGTTTATTTCCTTTATTCACAGGGTGGGGCTAAATTGACGCCAGGACTAAGGATATGAGGGAAAATTGAGCAGCCAAGAGTCAATGTTACTTTTTAACAACTTCACATAATTTTTTTTTTCTCAATATAATTTGAATATATCAACAAAGTTGAAATGGTAAATTGGCCACCGCTACGATTATAAAAGCTGACGTTTCGAGCGTGAGCCCTTCGTCGGAGCGAATTATTATTGAACAGATACATGGCAGCATGTCATCTATTTTTCTTTTGTTTGAGAAGTATTAAGAATAGTTTGTTATGATTTCTGATCCATCACTTCTTACCGCAAAGTAACACAGAGATTTGAACGACTTTGATCTGATTAGTTAATGAATATTAGAAATTCTCATGCTGTTCGACAATCCAGACGGCTCCTAACAGCGGAAGGAAGCCTTCTGCATCTAGTGCTGCCACAGATTTGCTCTGGGTTTCTATTGCTTGAGGTTTCTTTTGCAAGAATTTGCAAATATATTTACTTTTTGTTCACGGCTTATGTAACTGTTATCAGTCAAGGCTTACTTTCGCGGAAAGTCATCTGTAATGAAAGTGAAAATGACTAAACGGGGTATCTTTTAAAAATTGGTGCAGAAACAGAATTCTTCTCAGCATGAGCCAAGAAATACACTTGACATAATAAGCGTTCTTTTATGCAATATTGACGTTTGGAACAGATTTAAGAAGACACTTCACGAAAAGCACTTGTTTTGTTCGCTATTTATTTCGTTTCTTCTTCATCTCACGGACATTAGATCTCAAAAGCTTAAAAGGCTTTGGCAGTTTTTTCGCAGCTGGTTTATCTCACTGAGTTCTGGAACTAACACTACAGTGCTGGTATACCGTGGCACTGCAGTGCTGGTATACTGTGGCACTGCAGAGCTGGTATACTGTGGCACTGCAGTGCTGGTATACTGTGGCACTAAAAAAAATTTTATCTCCTGAGGTCCTCTTATCTCTTCGACCTCTAGTCCTTAAAACAATGGATGATTCTCCCAACAAAATTTCTGTAGCTTTAAAAAAAGTTGTAGCAGCCGTAATCCGGTGCGTTTTTGCCCCTTGCGTTTTTCATAATTACTGACAACTTAACTAAACAGTTCCGTCTTTCGTTCATCTGATACGGTGAGCATATTAGACAATGGATCATATCAGTTAGAGTATCAAAAGAACGTAAGGTCACAAACATCTCTTTTCTAACTTAAAGCGACGATGGTAGAAGTCGCAGTGCAATTTTATCTTTTTGCTAAACTAGTTTTCTGTATTACGCTCCTTCTCCTGCAGCGTGTTTCGTATCAAGATAAGTATTTCACAATGTTCGCTTGTTTCTTTTTCGTTTGAAACGAGTTGTATCTGCTACGCATAACTTTCAGGTAAGCGAATTAAAGTTTGCTTCACGTTGTCAAAGTTCTAGAAACTTTATTCGCGAGGTAATAATACTTTATCAGCTATAAAGAATATATGCTGCTTTCTGTAGTCAACAAAACACTTGAGGATCGAATAATTATGACGCCATATCAATGGGCCATTTATTTGCTGAGGTAAGAAAGACAGTTTTTAGGTTACGACAGTTAAGAGAAAATAGGAATGAAAGGACGACTTAAACTGAAAATAGAGCCGGTAAAGACCTTCTCTAGCTTGAGCTAAGAAATCTTTTTGAAATAACAAGCAACGTGCTTTGAAGTATTGAAGATATTCGGCGCCCAACCAAACACAGGAGTTCTTTTGTTGAGTATACATTTTCATTGATTTACGGGAATTTGTGTTAAGGAAGATGGAAGAAATCACAGTTAAATTTTATCTTGTTACGGTCTCATGAAGCTCTTTCTCCTCCAATATAGAAATTCTAGGAAGTATTTTTCGTTTGAAAAGAGTTGTATCTTCTACCCGTAACTCTCATCCAAATGAAATTATGATACTTGCTGCTGCCAAGTTTTGGAAACTTTTCGTGAGGTGGTGATTTATCATTTGCTATAAATAACATAGGCTGCTTTCTGTATTCAACAGAACACTCGACGAATTCGAAAGCGAAAACTTATTTGGCCTCGAGGCAAAGCACAAATAGCTGCGCCCTGCAGGTTTAATATCAGTTGTTGTACTGAAAACTATTGAATTCACTTTGGTTTGATCCTTGTTCCATTATCTGTCCGCAGCAAAATAACGCTTTGATTCGCTCTACAAAAGTCTGAAAAATTATTCGCTGATGTGAGTGAAATTACCCGTACTTAGCTTAAAAAGTGAAAGGGAGAAAAGATGGAGCCTATCCACTCCCCCCCCCTCTCTCTCGGTCCTCCCTATTTCGCATTTAATATTTAATTACAGTTCCTTAAGTAATATTTTCTTCTATGCCATGAAATCGTTGCCAGTGATTTGTCAAATGTACACAGATAGAAACAGTGAGACAAACCGAATGCGTGCCAAAAGCAATCGAAAAGAGAGGCTGGAAATAAAAAACACAAAAGAAAACCGACCCAAGGACAATATGAACGTTCTTCTCGTAGTCTGGATACATGGAAAATAACAACGCGCAAAACTGACACGATTAGCTTGATATCAGCGCGGATGAAATGCGAGGCGACCCGCACTGAGAAACTGAGCGATTCACTTGACGTTGAAATATTTTTTGCTGCACTTCTCTTCGTAAACTTCATGAGACTTGAAATAAACACGGCTGTGAGAGTCTGATAGAGGATCAAGAATTACAATTGAGGCGATCGAGTCATAAGTATCTACGGGGATAGGACTTTCACGATTATAGGCAAAGAAATATAGTTTTGCCAGTCTATTTAAGCTTACATCATCTTCAAAACATACCCAATATACTGAATGGCAAGGAAGTACGTGATCCTCTATCCTGAGCGAAGACTGGTATCTCTTTCTGTTTTCTAAAAGGGAACGGTAGATAATTCGTTTCAGTTTCATAATAAGCAATCCTGGTCCGCAACAGAAACAACTAAATTACACAATGACACAATGTACTTACCAGCGAGGCTTGTCCCAGTGCCTTGAGGAACAAATAATGCTGATTGATGGTATTATTTGTCTTTTCACTGCTGTTTTGGATCGTGATCGTCTCGCACGAAGAAGACTCCAAGCCGTTTGCTTGCAATCGAAACGTTCTTATCTACATAGGAGGTGAAAACAAAGTGAATTAAGCGACAAAACTTCAATATAAACATATTTAACGGCAGTGAAGAGCAAGATACCTTCTATACTTCTATACTTCTATTTATGGGATTGCAGAAGAACTCAAATATTAGCCTATATAACTGGCTTCAAATTAAAGGTTAAAAATAAGTTTGAAATAGTAAAATATGTGTGTATGAAGAATAATACTTTAGATAAATTTCATAAAAAGTGGCTAATAAATAAATAACTGGTTAAGCTAATTGCAATACCAGAAGTAGTAATATCTGTGTTAGTATTTTATAGTATACTGTATTATAATGCCATAAAACTAGTAACAGTGGTACTTAGTAGTAATAGTAGTAATAGTAGTGTAATAATTTAGTAATAACAGTGTGTTGTGTACCAATTTAAATGTAACCTGTGTAATACAGGGAGATATGTTGGTTACACACGCGGGCATTTATATGCCCGCGTGAATAGCCATAAGAGCACGTCATCTTCAGTAAGCAAGCACGACGACATCGACCACGCAGGTGCTGTCCCTGAGGACCTTCTTAGCTGTTTCAAAGTTCTCAAGAAGTACATGAAGAAATTCGATTGTCTTGTCAACGAGATGCTTTACATCAAACAATTAACACCGAGTTGGAACGTGCAAGCGGATTCTATCCGTACTAAAGTATTTGGGTAGCTACCTCCCCTATGTAAATTAGTTGTAACTTGTACTCGCATTTGTTAATTTTATTTTCATTTGTACCCTTTATAATGGCGCCATGAAGTCGCCGAAACGTCGGGATATTATATCGCTCGTTTTTACCTGTCTATGTGTATAGTTTGTTATGATTTTCGGTCCATCACTCCCTACCGCAAAATAACACAGAGATTTGAAGCGCTTTAAACCGCTTGTTTAATGAATTTTAAAAATTATTACTCTTTTCGACAACGGAGGCAGTTATCTAGACTACGAGAATCCCTTCCTTTTCGGCAGCGTGGTAGGCCCCCGTGGAGGCGGCGTGGCCGAGTGGTTAGGGTGCTGGACTTGTAATCCGGTGTCCCAGGTTCAAGCCCTCCACCCTGCCACTCACTGGATTTGTTCTCGGTTGCCCCTGGTTCAACTCCTCGGCTGCACTCTGTAAATAGCCCACTAGTCTGCCTCATGACGGTGGGGATTTTTAAGCACTTATTTAGTTTGCTCGGCATATTAGCATGTATTGCTAATATGCCTAATCAGCCTCAACAA